GCAAACTGGAGTATAGCCTCAATTATAGCAGTGGTGCAGAGCTTTAGACCTGGCATCTGCACTTTCTGGGGATCCAATTTTGGCCATCCAGGGATTCCAGAAGTCATGATGCTTCCTTTGTTGGCCACCTTCCACCAACCACTAATTATCTGGAAGTTTCCTAGCTTCAAAGGTTGAAAGATTTCTCCAAATATTTAGTTACTAGTAGTAATAGCTTTAAATTGAAATATACTGGAATTTTCATGGCCCTATTCCTCTTGCTTCCAACCCTGTACCACTTGAGTTTGGCAAAAATGGAATATTGTCTTTGGACTCAAGTTGGTTTTGTACCTGATTTACAAGGATGTTATGAAACCACACTATAAACAAGTAGACACTCCATCAGCAGGTGGGAAATAGGAGACCCCCATGCACCTCCAGGTACTCACCTGCAACCAAGTCTCTACCTTCTTCTACTCAAATTCAAACTGCCCGTTGCTTTTAACTATTTTTCTTCCCTTCAGCTATCTCTCTCCAAGCTTTGAAGGGTACCCTCACATTCCAAAAGGTGAACATTTTGAGCTATGAGGAGACTATCTCTGGTCATAGATTTCACTGATGAAACATTCAGTAATCATCTCAGGGTATTCCGAGGCAACCATCTTAACAAAGGCTCATCTCTCAGAAGCCATAAAGGAAATGTAACAAGGAGGCAAAGGGTGGAAAGTTGTTTAAACCTTCTAGGTGAGGGAGCTTAGTGGGAGCTCTAGAAGAATATTAGACAGCAAAAGAGAAGTCCCAGCTGTGAACTCTGATGGCTGAGCAGAGTCTGCTGAGCGGGTTCAAGCTTCAAAACCTCCACCTATACACAGCCTGTACCTTTGTGAATTAAGAAGTTACAATTAATGCATCTATTAGTTCTTGCTGCTGAAAGTATGTTATGCATGCAGGTTTTACACATATGAAAGCTGTATGAAGTAGCGATGGGGAATGTGAGGCCCTCCAAATGTTATTAGACTGCAACTCTCAGCAACACCAGCCTATTACAGTCAAAGGTTAGGGAAGATGGAAACTGTAGTCCATCAATGGAAAAACTCAAATGTGATAAGCTACAAATATGGGAAACACCTAAAATTTTCTCTACCATAAAAGTTGTTACTCCTCCCTGTGTTTATTCCAGTTAGAGTCAAATACTTAATTTACTACTAAATAAGCAAAATTAGTTTTGCTTGTTTAGTGATAATGGATTGCTTTTGAGTGCATTTTTTACCTAATTCCCCAGCTCTAAAAACGTTTCTGATATAAAAGCAAGGTGAATAAAATGCTGTGACCCAAAATATTAACTAGTTCAGCAAGAGGAAACTACTCAGATGTGAAAATAACATCAATATTTCTTTCAAACAAAGTAATGGGGATGAGATGAATCTTTCAAAATCGGGAATTTGTGTTCTTTATTGATCAATATAACTTTTTGCTTGGTAAACTTCTCAAAGGTGTGACTCATTTTCACCGTAAAAGTCAACAAATGGGCCCTCTTTATCATCATAAGTGCTGAAAAGTGATATAAACAAATAACTCTTCGGAACCCTTCTGTTTTCTAATCATGAACTTATGAATAGCACCATCTTTTCTCCCAAAAAGTACTGATCTCACCCCAGCCTTTTATCTTTATTCCTTCATTTTCACACATTTTCAGCATCCACATTCCAGGTTTCTCTAGTATTTTCACTTTCCCATAAACAGCTAATCATATGGGATGTAGTCAATTGATTGCACCAGTTGGAATTAAGATTGCTGGGAGAAATATCAACAACCGGAAGGATCTGAACCACTTGTGGAGTCCAGCTCGTGACAAATCTGAGCGATTTTCTCCTTGAAGTGCTGGGCAAAGTCGTCACAGCAGGCCATCGGTGGTGGTACAGGATCTTTCTTAGGACCAGGGTGTATCAGCCCATGTACCACTTGAAAGAGCTCTGCTGGACGGCACTGTGAGGAGGCAATAGAAGTGGAGAAGAATTTCTTCTTCGCCGCCCTCACCGCCACAGCATAGGCTCGATAATGAGCTCGTAGGCGTGTTTGGTCAGATTCATCCCGTGATTTCCTCCACCTACGCTCAAGATGTCTCCCAACCTGCTTCATCGCCCGTAATTCAGAAGTGTACCATGGGGATCTGCCTCTCAGCGGCTTTCGATACCATTGACCATGGTATCCTCCTGGATAGGCTGGCGGGACTGGGAGTAGGAGGCACTGCTTGGCAGTGGTTCCACTCCTATCTCAACAGCCGATCCCAGAAGGTGGTGCTGGGGGACTTTGGCTCTGCGCCATGGCAGCTATGCCATGGAGTTCCACAGGGATCCATTTTGTCCCCCTTGCTATTATCTACATGAAACCACTGGGAGAGGTCATCAGGAGGTTTGGGCTGCGGAGTCATCAGTATGCTGATGACACCCAACTCTAATTCTCTTTTTCAACCAATCCAGGTGAGGCAGTGGCTGTACTGAATTGGTGCCTGGTCAAAGTAATGGGCTGGATGAGGGCCAATAAACTGAAACTCAGTCCAGACAAGACGGAAGTCCTGCTGGTGGGTGGATCGAGCTCCTGGGTAGGTGACTTGGGCCTTGCCCTGGACGGGGTTGCACTCCCTCTAAAGGACAGGGTCCGCAGCTTGGGAGTGCTCCTCGACCCGGAGCTGTCCTTGGAAGCTCAAGTGACTGCGGTGGCGAGGAGCGCTTTCCTTCAGCTTCGGCTAATCCATCAACTGCGTCCCTACCTGGAGAAAGATTGCCTAGCGACAGTGACACATGCATTGGTTACTTCCCGGTTGGAGTTCTGCAACGTGTTCTACATGAGGCTGCCCTTGAAGACAGTCCGGATACTTCAGATGCTGCAAAACAGAGCGGCCAGGTTGCTAACAGGGACTGGGCATTATTCTCATATAACCCCAGTCCTCTATCAGCTTCGCTGGCTTCCCATCGAAGTCCAGGCTCAATTCAAGGTGCTGGTCATTACCTATTAAGCCCTTAACAGCTTGGGACCTGGATACCTAAAGGAACGCCTTTTCCCATATTTGCCCTCCCACCCCCTGAGATTGGCAGCAGAGGCCCTCCTCCGGGAAAGATATTAGGAGGCAAAGTACCTGGAGGGCTTTCTCTGCGGTAGCACCCCACCTATGGAATGCACTCCCCAGAGAGGTCCACCTGGTGCTGTCGTTATATGTTTTTCGGCGCCAAGTTAAGACCTTTTTATTTCAGCAATATTTTAATAAGCTTTAATATCATGACTTATATGTTTTTATTGCAGCCAGTGTGGGTCGATAATTTTATCTAAGTTATATTTTATTGTATTTTATCTATGTGAGCCGTCCTGAGGCTTTCGTGACAGGACGACTTATAAATACTTTAAATAAATAAATATACAGATGATACCACTCTAACGGCAGAAAGTGAAGAGGAACTAAAGAGTCTCTTGACGTGGGTGAAGGAAGAGTGTGCAAAAGTTGGCTTGAAACTCAACATTAAGAAAACTAAGACCATGGCATCCGGTCCTATCACTTCCTGGCAAATAGATGGGAAAGAAATGGAGGTAGTGACAGATTTTATTTTCCTGGGCTCCAAGATCACCGCAGACGGGGACTGCAACCAAGAAATTAAAAGACGCTTGCTCCTGGGGAGGAAAGCTATGGCAAATCTAGACAGCATACTAAAAAGCAGAGACATCACCCTGCCAACAAAAGTGCGAATAGTCAAGGCTATGGTTTTCCCAGTTGCAATGTATGGTTGTGAAAGCTGGACCATAAGGAAGGCTGAGCGCTGAAGGATTGAGGCCTTTGAATTGTGGTGCTGGAGGAGACTCCTGCGAGTCCCTTGGACCGCAAGGCGATCAAACCGGTCAGTCCTAGAGGAGATCAACCCTGACTGCTCTTTAGAAGGCCAGATCCTGAAGATGAAACTCAAATACTTTGGCCACCTAATGAGAAGGAAGGAGTCCCTGGAGAAGAGCCTAATGCTGGGAACAGTAGATGGCAAAAGAAGAAGGGGGCGGCAGAGGATGAGATGACTGGATAGAGTCACTGAAGCAGTTGGTGTGAGCTTAAGTGGACTTCGGGGGATGGCGGAGGACAGGAAGGCCTGGAGGAATGTTGTCCATGGGGTTACGATGGGTCAGACACGGCTTCACGACTAACAACAACATTAGCATATGCAAACCCCTGCCCTTCTGATGATGCATGCACCTGTAGCAGCAAACCACCTTTGAAGAGGCATTCTTCTCTCACAAGAGACACTGCTGTGAACCGGAGCTTGTGCTTGCAGCTTTTCTAAGTGTGTGCTTTAAAATGTCTTTAAACGTCATAACAGTGGATTCAATGGGGGGTACCCTTTTGGTTAATCGGTTTTTTAAAAAAAAGAATATTAAAGGGTGCAACCTGATACATGATTAAACAGAAAAAAAATCCTAGAACTCGTAAGCATGCACCAGTTGCAGGACTGTCTCAAGTGCGATTGTTTTCTAGAAGTTGCAATGCTACATATACGGCACCCCTACATAGTTTTTTTTTTCTTTTAATACAGCATATAGGCAGCCCCACATATATTATTTGCTCCTGGGCGAGACCAAGGAAGGGAACCCGTGGCATGAATCGAAGGGGTGCGTGGCTGCCGCGGGCTGCCTCTCTCCGCTCTTTCCGCCCGTCGCTGGCCGCGCCCCGTTGGAGGCAAGCCTGACCCACCGCCGCCGGGGCGGGCGGACGGGCGACAGGCGGCGGACGCGGTTCAGGCCGAGCCGGAGGAGCGCCGAGCAGAGCGATGGCGGCGGCTCGATGAGCTCTGCGCTCGCCGCCATTTTGCGCGCTTGAGGGGAGTGGGGGCGGCTGCAGCGACGCGGGCCGCCCCCGCCGTCCGTTGCTCCGGACGCAGGTACTGGCAGGGCACGTCACGTCCGCGCGGGGACTTGGGGCGGCGAGCAACGGGCGGCTTCCGGGACAGCCGGACCGGAGCTGGGCGGGGAAGGGCGAGGCCGGGCCGGGCCACGCCCAGGCCAGGCCAGGCGCCCCCGGCCGCTTCCTCCTCCGGCCGGGCCGCTCCGGGTCGGCAGAGCAGGGTCCCCGGCAGAGCCCCTGCGCGCCTCGGCCTTTTCCTTTTGTGACCCCCCTCGGCCAGTGGCGGCGGTTTCCCTTCGAGGTGAGCAGCGCGATGCCTCCCGCAGCCATTTGCCCCCTCCCCCCGGCGCCCCTGGCTCGCGCGGCTCCGTCCCCCCAGCGCAGGATCCCCCGCCCCGTTCACATGTGTCGGAGAGGGACAGTGGCTCCGCTCGGGAGGAGGTGGTTGGGCAGCCTGCCTGATGCAGGGCTCCCTTCCAGACGGGTGCGAGGTTTTCTGCAAACACCGGCTACGAGGCGAGGCAGTTGGCAGGGGAGTGGAAGAAGCTTTTCCTTCAAAGTTAATTTATGCAGAGGGCGTAGTAAGCCGCTTCTGAAAACAGTGGTCGGGTTTCTCTGCTGCCCTCTGCATTTTTTTTAGGCTTTGCATTTTTCTCATGTCAGCATTTCACAGCTATCCCCAAGGCAGTTATCTCAGGGCATCGCAGCCATCCCGGTCCTGATTGACAAGCTTTGTTGTGGAACAGTTATGTACAGTGACATGGTAGTTTCTAGGCGAAAGCAAAGAGCAAATGGCCAGATTGTCCCTCTGTTTGTATTTTGATTTGATATCTTGTAGGGTTGGCACTTGATGCTGTTGTTGTGGAAGATGTTTCCTTTCAACAAGTCCATGACAGACGCACCTGTTGAATTTCCCTCTCTTCCAAGTAGCTCTTAAAGGCAAGAAACTATATGGAGAAGGACCATTCCTTGAACCATTCCTGCCATAGTTTAGTACATGCACACCCATGGGAATACAGTACAGAGAAGGAAACTAAACTAAATATATGACAACAGTTTGTGTTGGTACAATATTGTGAATGCAATTATTTTAATTACTGACCCAATACATATTCAGGATTGGTTGCAGCTTAGTCTTAACCATTATCTTTGGGAAGTAAGTCCTGTTGCTATTGAGTTCAGTGAGATTTCTTGTGACTTCTGGAGATTTCTTATTCCTTAATTACCTATCTATATTGACAAAATCTTACTAAAGGCTTGTGTGTGTGTGTGTGTGTGTGTGTGCGTGTGCGCGCGCGCATGCTTTCGGATAGACAATGAATGAAAAGCGATCAGTTAATAGGTTTTAAGTTGCCACCTAGCTGAATGCTTCTCTGTTTTCTTTTAAATATTAGCATGCTTCAGTACAGATTTCCAGCATGAAATCTTAGCAAGTTGGTGTAAGGCTTTTTTAGAGCTGTCTCTGAAGTATTAAGGATGGGTTTCATCCAGCCATGTCCGCCTATCTGTGTGCCATTCCTGCTGGGGAATTGGGAAAGGAAAGTGGCATGATGGGAGGCTGCAAGAGAAAGGGAAAATAAGCAAGCGTGTCTCTTCAGTGGAGAGCCTCACTGGATCAAAGTCCTACTAACAGAAAGAGCCTCTCTGATCACAGAAAGGGAAGTCTGGATCCAACCCATGAATGTTTTCTTTAAACAGGATAGCAAGTTGCTTCATTCCTGTATGAGCTCTTCTTTTAAAATAGTCTCTGTGGAAATAGAAACATAGAAACAGAGCGAGTCAGAAGGGGTTTCCCAGGCCATCTAGTCTGACCTCTGGCACCAGCTGGTTCTGCTCACGACATGCCCACCATGTGCATGTCCATCCTATCTTTGAACACCCTCATCGATGGGGCCTCAACGACCTCTCGTGGAAGCCCATTCCACACCCTCGGGGTCCTGACTGTCAGGAAGTGCTTCCTGGCATCCAAATGGAACCTTGGCTCCCTGAGCTTTGCTCCATTGGAGCGCGTCCTGCCTTCCTCTGCAGGGGAGAATAGGTCTCTACCCACCTCCGTGTGACATCCCCTTACATACCTGTATGTCGCCAACATATCCCCTCTGAGTCTCCTCCAGGCTGAAGAGACCCAACTCCCTCAGTCTCGCCTCATACGGCATCCCCTGCAAACCGGCCACCAACCTTGTGACCCTGTGCTGCACTGACGCTAACCTAGCTATATTCTTTCTGTAGTGAGGGGCCCAAAACTGAGCACAATACTTAAGTTGTGGGCGCACCAGAGTCATATAGAGTGGTAGTAATACCTCTCTCGATCTAGAAGCCACACTTCTTGCTATGGAACCAAGGGTGACGTTCGCCCTCTTGACCACTGCATCACACTGCTGACTCATGTTTAGCCTGCAGTCGACCAGCACCCCAAGGTCCCTTTCACAAGTGCTGCTCTCCAGCCACTTGTCACTTAACCTGTACTTATGACACCCATTCCTATGCCCCAAGTGCAAGACCTTGCACTTATCCACATTGAATGCCATCCTGTTGTCTCCTGCCACTTCCATAGTCTGTCCAGATCCTTTTGGATCTGGAGTACCTGCTCCTCAGTTGTGGCCACTCCTCCAGTTTTAGTATCATCTGCCAATTTGATCCGCAGATGGTTCACCCCTTCTTCCATGTTGTTGATGGAAAGATTAAGCCGAATTGTCCCCAGGACAGAGCCCTGGGGGACCCCGCTTGTCACTGGCCACCATCCCGATGATTCCCCACTAATGGTTACCCTCTGCTTTCAGTCAGACAACCATGCCCTGATCCACTGGACAGTGCTTTGTTTTATCCCAAAACTCCTCAGTTTCTCCACCAGGATATCATGGGGCACTTTGTCAAAGGCCTTGCTGAAATTTATTTATTCATTTAAACATTTCTATGCCGCCCCATTCACCGAAGCCTCGGGCCGGCTCACAACATAAATTAAAATATAATACATTAAAAATATAAAACAAATTTACAATATAAAATAAGTCACTCTGGCCAGATAAAATTAGCAAATAATATTAACAATTAAAATGACGTTTAAATAAAAAGGTCTTCGCCTGGCGCCAAAAAACAAATAATGACGGCGCCAGGCGGACCTCTCTGGGGAGCGCATTCCATAGATTGGGCGCCACCGCAGAGAAAGCCCTCCTCCAAGTACCTACCCTCCTAATTTCTTTCACAGAGGGTTCCCGGAGAAGGGCCTCTCCCGCAGATCTCAAGGGGCGGGCGGGCGTATATGGATGTAAGCGCTCCTTCAGGTAGCCAGGACCCAAGCCATTTAGGGCTTTATAGGTCATCACCAGCACCTTGAATTGGGCCCGGACTTCAATGGGAAGCCAGTGAAGCTGACGGAGGACTGGAGTCATGTGAACATAACACCCAGTCCCCGTCAGCAGCCTGGCAGCTCTATTTTGAACCAATTGAAGTATCCGGACCGTCTTCAAGGGTAGCCCCACATAGAGCGTGTTAAAGAAGTCAAGGTGGGAAGTCACCAGCGCGTGAGTCACTGTCGCCAGGCAGTCGTACTCCAGGTAGGGGCGCAGCTGATGGATCAGCCGAAGCTGAAGGAAAGCGCTCCTTGCCACCACTGTTACCTGAGCTTCCAATGAAAGCTCTGGGTCGAGGAGCACTCCCAGGCTGCGGATCTTGTCCCTAAGAGGGACAAGAGGCAACCCCATTCAGGACTAAGTTCAATTCACCCTCTCCAAAGCCCAATCTGCCAACCAACAGGACCTCCATCTTGTCTGGATTGAGCTTCAGTTTATTGGCCCTCATCCAGCCCATTACCTCGGCCAGGCACCGGTTCAGTACAGCCACTGCCTCACCTGGAGTGGTGGAAAACTAGAGGTAGAGCTGGGTATCATCAGTGTACTGATGATTCCGCAGCCCACACCTCCTGATGACCTCTCCCAGCAGTTTCCTGTAGATGTTAAACAGCAAAGGGGACAAAATGGATGCCTGCGGTACTACATGGCATAGCTGCCATGGTACAGAGCCATAGTCTCCCAGCACCACCTTCTGGAATCTGCAAAGCAGTGCCTCCGACCCCCAATCCTGCTAGCCTATCCAGAAGGATACCATGGTCGATGGTATCGAAAGCCGCTGAGAGGTCCAGGAGAACCAACAGGGACGCACTCCCCCTGTCCTTCTCCCTGCACAGATCATCGTACAGGGCGACCAAGGCAGATTCAGTACCGTCCCCGGGTCTGAAGCCGCACTGAAATGGGTCCAGATAATTAGTTTCATCCAAGAGAGCTTGGAGTTGTCCCGCCACCACCCGCTCTAACACCTTGCCCAGAAACGGGATGTTGGCCACTGGTCTATAATTAGTGGCCATCTCTGGATCCAGTGACGCTTTCTTCAGGGGCTTTAAAGGGGCAGGCACCCGACCCTCCCTCAGAGAAGCATTAACCACTTCCAAGATCCAGATCCCAATCCCGTGCTTGGAATTATTTATTATCCAAGATGGGCAAGGGTCCAATAGGCAAGTGGTGGGACGTACTCATCCAAGCACCTTGTCCACATCATCAGGCTGCAATAACTGAAATTCATCCATTAATTTTGGACCAGACGGCAGCATTGGTGTCTCCCCAGAAACCTCTGATTCACTAGTGATGTCTAGCTCATGACGAATCTGAGCAATTTTCTCCCTGAAATGAAATCCAGTTAAACCATATCCATTGCATCCCCTCCATCTAACCACCTCAAAACTTTGTCATAGAATTTATTTATTTATTTATTTATTTAGGAGACTTCTATGCCGCCCATTCACCGAAGCCTCGGGGCAGCTCACAACCATAAATAAACTTCAAAATAGAATAATATAAATTAACAATATAAATTAACAATATAAGGTTGTTCCACAAGGTTTGTCTGGGAGGACCTGTTTTTGCGGAAGCCATGTTGTGTGGCTGTCAGCCTCCCTTCCCTGAGCCTTTCCTTTGTTTTTCCTACAATGGACGTAAGGCTAACAGGTCTGTAATCCCCCATGTCCCTTCTACTACCCTTTTTGAAAATTGGGACCACTGATGCCACCCTCCAGTCCTCTGGAACTTCACCTGTTCTCCACGAGGCCTCAAAAATGGAGGCCAGCGGGTGTGAGAGAACCCCTGCCAACTCTCTAAGTACTCTAGGGTGTAAACTGTCAGGGCCTGGTGCCTTTGTAATGTCCAGTGCCCTGAGGAGCCCCTCAACTTCTAGGGGGTGACTCTAATCTGTGCCCCTAGATCCCCGGCCTCATCTAATCTCCTATGTGGATCTCCCCCATCCTGCTTTGTGGAGAACACAGAGGCAAAATAGTCATTCAGCATCTGTGCCTGTTCCCTCATATCAGTCACTGGATCTCCTTCCTCCTTATTTAGTGGTCCCACCACTTGTTTCCCCTTCCTCTTCCTATTTACATGCTGAAAGAAGCCCTTTTTGTTGCTCTTGATATTCTTGGCAAGTCTCAGCTCGTAATCAGCTTTAGCCTTGCGAAGAATCCTTCTGCAACTTCCCTCCTCCTCCCAATATACCTTTTTGTCTATTTGCCCCAGAACCCATTTCCTGTGGAGGTTCCTCTTTCATCTAATCCCTCTAACCACCTCCTTTCACATCCATAGTGGCTGAGATTAATACCCCCCTCCCCACCTTACTAACTAGAAGTATAGTCAAGGTTTGTGCCCCCAAAACCTCCCTTTTGAGTGCCATCCACCCCTCTTCAACTCGCTTACCTTCCAGTAACCTATCCCAGGAGACTTTCCCCAGTCTGGCCTTCAGTTGGCCAAAGTTGGCCCTCTTGAAGTCCCAGCTTCTAGTGCTCGACCTGCTGCACGTCCCTAGTCCCCTGATCTCAAAGCAAAGGATGGAGTGACCACTCACATCCAGAGCTCCCCTGATCTGTATTTCATTTATCAGCTCCTCTCTATTGGTCAAGACCAAGTCAAGGATGTGTGCCCCCCCCCCCCCCCCGTCGCCTCTCGGACCCTCTGTGTGAGAAACTCTCCCTCTATAGCCTCTATAGGAAGCAACGTGACCTGGCTGTCACTGCCGAGTAAGTCTCCCAACTAATATCTGGGAGATTGAAATCTCCCATAATTACTGTGTCTCTGCCCCGAGATATCCTTATAATCTGGCCTGTCAGGACATCATCCAGGTTCTCAAGTTGACCTGGAGGGCGATAACATACCCCCACTGTCAGGTCCCTTTACCTGTCAAAACACCTAAGTTTCACCCAGACTGCCTCTGCCAAATCCCCATCTGTGCTGCATTCTATCTCAAATGTTTCTGTCTAAAATTGTTCTGCTTGTGCTAAGCTACAGGATACAAACTTCTCTTTTATTTTCAAGTTTAGTTTATATTTTTATGTGTTTGGTGATTTCAGCAGGGTAAACTGCTTGTGCTGATAAAGCAACTTGCCAATTATAGCATATGCCAGAATAAGTACATATTGTTGCTTTTTAGTTCATATTAAGCAATGTTGGTAGTATTTGAACATTCTTTCTCAACAGCCACTGGCTTAAATATATGGTCATATATACAGAGTTCCGAGCACAGCCTGAAGTAATAAATTGTGGTCGAGACTGTATAGGAGAAGTGCTTGGTGCTGTGTTGATCTTTTTCTCCATGTGGTAGACAGGAGCTATTTCTCTGCTATATCCAGAATTAGAAGAAGGAGAGAAAAGCCTGTGGTGTCTTTCAATATTCAGGAATTTTATGAGCAAGCAGGATAGTTGAGTCCACTAAGAATCGAGTGGGTAATTTGTGGCCCCGAAGCTGGTTTTGCCTAGAATTCCATCACGCTTCACCATTGACTGCTGCCTCGGGCTGATGAAAGTAGGCCAAACTGTCTTGTAGGCCAAGACAGTTTGCCTTCCTTTGAGATAAATGATAATTTCAACTGATCAGTCTTGAAGACTTGAAATCTTGCATCAAAGACAACAGCCATTCTGATATCACAGTCCTATGGAGCAGGGTTTAGTAGATTTCAAGAAATCCCTACAACCCTGTTCAACGATCAAGAATGCTGGAAGCTGAAGTCCAAAGCATCTAGAGATCTATTTTACATCCCTTCCTTCTGAAGAGATAAATTCAATCTAGTAGATGATGCTCTGTGAGTTAAATTCAGTTTTGGCTATAGGCCAGACACTAATAAGAATGTTTATGACAAGGATAAACAAGACTCTTGAAAAGGAAACATGAGGAAGAATAAATATGTAGATAACCATTGTGTTAAGATGGCCACTGATTTCAAGAGAAGAATTACATTATCATCTTTGGCCAGCTCTTAGATTGCAACATCAGCAGATGAAAAGGTCGGGGGGGGGGGTTGTTGTTGTTTTTTTATTCCCAAAACCTAACTGACCATTGGTTTGGCAATGGTGATCTTGCTGGAGAAGTACTGTTCAGGAAAAGGAAATAAAGAATGAAGGAAAGTGAATTTGGTAACAGAGTATCCATTCATACCAGGCTGAGTAGTAGTTTAAGTCTTCAGTACATCTAAGCATCACTAGATTTTTGCATCCACATTACTCAGTGTTCATCTTTTCTGATAACAGTTGCCCCTCTAATAGCTACGTAAACCCAACTGGAAGAACTCCATTTCATAGGAGATAAGCCCTCAGGTTTACTAACCAGGTAGTGAGGCTTGGTAAACAGAAAGCATTAAATAACCACTAATTGGATAAATCAGTATTTGGCTAGTGCAGCATGCAAACTGACAGGAAAATGTCATCTAGGGAATACTGGAACTTTTTTTCTGTCTAAACATGTAGGATTGTAAGTAAATTCTTACTATTTAAGAACTCACATGAGTATGACATAGTTTTTTGATTTCGGTGCTGCAATAGACTGGAAAGCTGTCCAGTACCTGTAGGTACACATGGGATACCCTTTGCAGCAAGTTGTTAAACAGAAGTCAAATACATAACTACCTGGGTTTAAGCCTTTCTTTTTCTTTTCTGATCCTGATATGGTTGAAGGACTCTTATAAGGAAATGCCAAATGAAGATAGGAATGTTCTATATCCCAAGAAAGGCAGTATGTTCTGGTTTCATACTTGTTAAGGACTGGTTCTTGAAAAAAATGTACTGCATCAAATTTATCCAGTAAAATTGGACATCGTTTCTTTCTATCCATGCTGTGATCTCAGTTCTGCAAGTCCTGTTGAACAGCGATCAAAAGTTTTAGATAGATCAAACATTGTACACTTGTTCATTGTACTGTTGATAATTTACATAATAATATTGGTATATTTGTAATCTTTTGCAATCTTGGAGGAACGAACCAATTTTAAAATGTACGTTTGGAGTACAAGTCTAGTATGTTTTTCACTTGAATGCCATCATAATTCACTGTAACCTTTTTTTTTTTCAGCTTCCAAATAAAGAAAAAAAATATTGCCACTGGATGCAGCAAACTAGGAATCATGGATCTGAAATTCAATTCTTCTCGGAAATACGTTTCTATCAGCATACCTTCAAAATCTCAAACTATGTCACCACATATCAAATCAATAGATGATGTAATAGTCCTTGGTATTAATCTCAGCAAATTTAACAAAGCTACTCAATTTTTCATTTGTGTCTCTGGAGTCTTTCTGTTTTATCTTATTTATGGATATCTACAAGTAAGTGCTGTGATTCAGCATTTGTATGTTTGCATGCTTTTATTGAATACTTGCTGGGATAATTCTCTTGTAGCCTATTGTACTTTCATGAAGGTATAAGGGTAAATAACAGATACGAGCTTATCTGTTTAAACATAACCAAACAATGCACAACTACAAAGATGAAACAGGTGCCCAGTTGGTTCCCTCCATTGAAGGAAAAGAAGCCCACTTATAAAGTAGTCCTGTGAGTCCTTCAGATCCAAACAAAATATGTTAATATCTATCCATCAATTCAGCCAGGCATAAAGTTGATCTAATTACTAGCATTGAGAATTAGGAGTGGATTTTATATGAATTCTATAGTGATTAAAGGAATAGTTTACTACCTTATCTATCATGCCCAAATAATTATGGCCAATTCACATACTATATATTTGCTTGTATACTTAAAATGTAAATTATGAACATCACACACACACACACACACACACACACACACACATATATTTGTTTAAAATTTTTATATACCATCCACTACTGAGGTCTCGGGATGGTCTTACAATAAAACAAGCTGGAGCACAGTAGGCAAATTGATTATCTGTACAATAAAACCCCACATTAAAATCAGACTCAAACCTTAAAATAATGGGAAAATAAAAAGGGTTTAGCCTGGCATCAAAAGGAATAAAGTGTCAGTCCCAGGCAAACCTCTCTGGAGAGTGTATTTCATAACCAGAGTGCCACCACAGAGAAGACCCTTCTCCAGGTAGCCATCCTAATCTTTTCAAGGAGGGCTCCCAAAGAAGGACCTCCGTCCCAGATCTTAAGGGGTGGGTAGGCACATAGGGAAGGAGATGCTCCTTCAGATATCCAGGTCCTAAGCTATTTAGGGCTTTATAGGTCATCACCAGCACCTTAAATTGGGCCCAGACTTCAATTGGTAGCCAGTGTAGATGGTAAAGGGCCAGCATTATATGTTTGCAAATATTTATCATACAGACAGTTTTGATGAAATCATTTGTGACTTATTCCCTCATGGTTCATGTTTTCTGCAATCCTACTAATATGTGTATGATAGCAAGAATATGAATTGATTTCTGAGTCTAACTTGGTATGAGGATGGACACAAAATGTATTCATCCACTGATGATATAAAAGACAGTTGTTAAGTTTGATCTATAAAACACAGCAACACTCTTTTGACACCACAGTTTCTGCTGCAATACTACCATTATACATAAGGCAAACACAGAGACAAGCATTTTGACCAAGAAACCAAGTACATGGCAGGTGGAGTTTTTATTCAGCCACTCATGGTTTTTATTGTCAGAGGAGACCTATGGAAATAAAGATAGCACCAATTTTCTATTAAAGCATGCCAACATTCTAGTTTAAGCAAAGAGCTGAATAAAAATTTGAAGGGGCAAGGAGCCCACCAGGCACCAAGGGAAATGTCTGTGGGCACCACATTGGAGGTCCAAGGAATATGCTATTCACTATTTTTGACAAGGAAGGTAGATGAAATAGGAAAAGGCAAACTTCTGATGCACTCTAAGTAAAAAAGTTGACCATTGCAAACCAAGTAATAGGATCATGTTCAATATATATTTTAATAGGATGATGATGATACTGTTCTATGTTTTATCCCCCACCCCACACAGGAACTAATATTTTCAGTGGATGGTTTTAAACCCTTTGGGTGGTACCTTACATTAGTGCAATTTGGATTTTATTCCATTTTTGGGCTCATAGAACTGCAGCTTATTCAGGATAAAAGGAGAAGGTATGATATTTATTCTTGACAATCTTGATTTTTCAAAATATTGTTTCTGTTAAATCTGATTCTCATTTTGTTGAGTTTTACTGAATGGGTAGACAGTAAAAGTAAGCGTGATTTTCCAAGTTGAACTCAGATGTGTCAGATAAAATATGCTTCTTAAATATTGTCTGGTTATTAAGGTGCCATGACAATGCTCACATGTTGTTGACATGAGGAATTGTCAGCCACTGATGGTTTGTCCAAACGCACGTGGACATGTGGTAGAATTTTTCTTCACCATGCTGCACCTTTGATGCACTTCAAATGCAAAATGTTTAGCCCAGGTTTTGCAGAATATCACTCAGCACATTGCAGCTATTCCAGATTTTCTGGAAAGATTCTGGAGGGCTAGTGTTGCAGTGGAAGCTCCTGCCAAGACCTGGGATCCAGTGGGCTGTGTTTGAACCTCTTGTACATGAAAGAGACCTTGAGAAGCACCCATTCCTGGCCACAGTTCTTTTACCCTGCAGTCTGAAATCCAGAGAACCTAGAAGAACAAGCTTCTAATTTGACATTAAGGACATTAAAAAATGAAACCGGCCTGTTATATCAGTTCTTCTTAATAATTATTTTACTGTGTTCCAATATTTACTGTAATTGATGGAAATCAGGACATCAGGATTTTACATTTGGGTTTACGGGTGGGAATTGGAATTGACACTCTCAAATCAGTGATTCCAGAATAATCTTTGATTGTGTAGGATGTGTATTCAATAGAGAGAATGGTTGCTATTGTGCCTTACTTTCCGTGCATTTGGGTGGGATAAAAAAATGAAAACTACAGAGGGTAGATTTTATTTATTTATTCTTCATGAAATAAAAAGGCCTATGTAATGGCAGTAAAACAAAAATATTCCCTTTACTAATATTACAGAAAACATTCTCTGATTTATCAAATCTCACTAAATAAATTTGGATTTCAGCACTTTTATAGATATAAATTTCAGAACAATTCACCAAACGTTAAGAATATTCTTTATTTAGCACAATCTTAAAGCTTTTCTTTAGAGTTGCAATTTCTTCCCAATAGAGACCTTCATTTATATTTTCCAGGATCCCAGGCAAAACCTACATGATAATAGCTTTTCTAACAGTGGGGACAATGGGTTTATCAAATACCTCCTTAGGATATCTGAATTATCCTACACAAGTAATCTTCAAGTGCTGTAAACTGATTCCAGTTATGATAGGAGGAGTCTTTATACAAGGTACGCCTTATTATTGGTATTGAATCTTGTTGATCTCAGAAAGTAACCTTGGAAAGACGCAGTAATGTTTTCCTTTTTCTCTTGCCCTCTTCCCACCACTATCTTCATGTGGTGGTCTTGGTTACCCTAAAACTCTGAATTAACTCCTGAACTTGAATCAACAGCTAATATAAGCCTAGGCAAGCTAGCAAGCAAGGCCTCAGTGCAATGCATAGGCAGCATATGCTCTGCAAGGAACTCTTGACCATCATTTCCACTGAGAATCTCAAACAAAAAGTAGTTTCTGCCTTCATGACTGTAGGGACAAACATCTGAAGCTGTCTCTGCTGTGAGAATGTGGTACCTTCTCTTGGTCTAGCCTGCTGATAGCTGAGCTACTAGGAACTTTAGAAGTCAGTTAACTGTTGTGTATCCCTCCACACTCACACATCAGTTCAGCAGCACTGGCTGTGCCATCCCCTTGTTCTACTGATTTACACAGTGAAGAAAAAGCAAATAAGACCATCTTTTCTTTCTTGCATCTTTTGTGGTCTCAGTACGCATGACGAGAGAATTTCCAAGCCCTTTTTGTTCATGCCTGGATGCTGCTGCCACGGAATATAATTCAACACAGCGTAGTTAGTTTACCTGGGTTGTAGTTACACTTGTGGGAAATGCTTAGTAGAATGCTCATTGTGAAAGAGTTTGAAAACATTTCCATGCACAGAAAGGGTTCTTCCAGTTCCATTAATAAAATCCAAAAGGTCCCATTTTTCTTTGCTAATACTGCCTGATTTTTCTTGGTGCAAAATGGGATTCTGAACTAAACTTTGAAAGCAACAGAATTCTAGCTGTGCTTCTGAAACTTTGGCTAGGCTTAAATAATGAAAATGGACCAATAAAAGGACAACAATATATGCCTTACATAATGTTAACTAAGTTTAATTTGCAATAATAAAATAATGTCAATATTGAAATCCACTTTAGTGTTCAAATAAAAAATTCCAGAATTACAGATTTAATGCTTCTGAGTGGCTAGAAAGGGGGATAAAGCATGCCACTTAAAACATCCATGTCTCAAATGTACATATGAAACACAGACAGTATGTTATAAAGTTTCAGTTTAGCAGAAAAATGCATGTAGGCCATCTCTCTGGATGCCAAATATCAGTGTAGTGCCACAGAGGGATGGTTCATTAGTTAGCATAATAGCATAGTTACTGCTTTTGCACTGCCACTTCCCCACATCAGTCCAGGAAATGTACGCAGCAGGGAGGCAGTGTGGGAGGAAAATGTTCTATAGTAACTTCACATGCCACTGCTGTGGGCTTCCGGGGAGAAGCTGCACTGACATGCAGAGAAAGCACATCCTCTGCTGCTTCTACCCGTACCTTTCATTATATACGTTAGGGCTGCAGTATGGGGAGAGACCACTTGGAAGCAATAACAATGATTGGAACATATGAATTCGTTCAAGGGGTGGCAAATTGGATGCTTTAAGTTGTTTACCTGGTATGTGTTCAAGCACAAATGGATTAAAGAATTGAATTGTGTGCCAATGTGTCAATGGAATGTGATGTCAACTCTGGTTCTCCCATCCTTTTTTTTTTAATTTTCCCTGCACAGGAAAGCGTTATAATATTGCAGATGTTTCTGCTGCGATATGTATGAGCTTGGGCTTAATATGGTTTACTCTAGCTGATAGTACAGTTGCACCAAATTTCAACTTCACAGGTAAAGTATGTCTTTTATAACTTAGTTTTTTTTAAAATCTCTTGATAAAAATGAATGTTATGTACAAGAAAAGTCCCATAGGTAAAAGTGGTTGAATGGATGAACCTAGCACATTCCTGCTTTACCCCGTCCTTACACTGGCAGCTGAATTCTATTCACGAAGCAGCAGACGCATCCTACAACTTTGGTGCTGGCCCAGCAAATCTTAAATAATAATCCTGGAACGTGTGGTACTCCAGAGGCATTCCTTCATCCCTCACTAATGACTATGCTGTCCATAATCCTATGCATTCTTACCTGGGAATATGAATAAATGAATTCCAGTTCAGTTCAGTGGAACACAGTTTTGACTAGAATGCATTCTTGATGTTCATCAATAAAGATACATAGAGAGTACAGAGATTCTTCTGAACAGAAGGGCTTTCCCCACCACCGACAAATATTTGGAGACAAAATAAATGCAGACAAACCTTGTGGAGGGAAAACACAACTAAAGTTATGGGGGTTCCTAATAGCTTAAGATTGTGGTGTACCAATCCTTGCTTCATTCACGAAGTTCTGAAGGGTTTGAAAAGTTTTTGTGGCATATGTATAAGAATTTCCTAATGAATTTTACTTGAAAGTACTACAGTTCATACCTGACCATTTTGCTACATTTCTTACATACTAAAGCTCAACACTGGCTAAGAACTATAGCAAACTGGGTGTGGGCTGATGAATAATTCAGCAAATGGAAGAAACTTGGTTGAATATTTGTTTTTAGAGTTGATTTTATAATCATAATGAACATAATTAACCCCTTCAGTTAATTGTATGTGCAAGTAACTCATGTATAAATGTGTTTTTTGACAGAACTGTTTTCTGTGACACTCTACTCTTAGGAGGAGGCAGTTATATGAGCACAATGTCACCCATGAGACATGCACTTTGAACAACAGGGTGCATGTCCTGTGTAAAGCAGAGTTATGACATCAGTTAAGCAGTGGCTCTTGCAAAGTATAAACATGGATTGTCAGGAACTCAATTTCCATATATATTTCAGTTCACTGAGAGTGTCACTTTGCTAATAGTTCCTGCAGTCCTCCCAGATCATGGATGTTTGTGTCTTTATGTATTTCCACAAATGTTGAAGCCCAAGAGGCTTGGTTTAGGAACTTCTGCAGCAACAGATGGCCCGCTATTCATGTACCCCAACACACCACATTCTAACAACCCTAAAATAATAGACTATCATATAGTTCTTTATTGTATCCCAGAATTGCCTATTTATTGAATTTTAAAAATCAATTTCAGGGTGGGCTTTTTCTGACTTTTAAATAATTCTGTTCATTCAGCTCTCAAATACATTGTTGCATGGAATTTGCTGTTTGAGAAGTAAAAAAAAGACAAGAAAATGAATGCTGCAAAGCAGAACTGTTTGCTGAATGGCAATAGAACACCATGACCTTTACAAGATACACACTTAATGAAGCAGGAGATCACACACTTTGGGGGCAGAGAATGGCAGAGCCAACTCCATATGTTTGTTTCAAATAAGTAGAAAGTTGTCACTTTCCTTCACAGATTAATATTCTTGCTGATTTGTACACACACATGTTCATTGTACAATAAGATAAGTTTAGTGAATACAGTATTATGATCAGTTTTTACTTGACTGCCTTATATGTTGAAAGACTACTAATCTGTTGATAACAGTTTTTTTAAGAAGCCCAGAATTCCAGTTGCATGTTAGAAAGAAAACAAAAAACTGAGGTGGGGAGGGGCAATGTTATGGAGAATTACTAGCAAATTTAGGATTCCTAAGTTGAGATGCATTCCTATTGCTGGACACATGCAACTTATCTTCTTGTTAGTGTGAAGGCTTCGCTCTACTGGAAAAGCAGGCACAAAACAGTCCCTCTCTGTGCTTTTCTAGTTCTGTGACATCTTTGCCTGATCACCAGTCCTCATGACCAACTGCATTTAAACCATGTGTAAACTGTGCTTGCATATTCTCATCTTAATTTTGTTTTTTTCTCCATTTGTCTTTCTCCAATACCAAACTTTAGATTGCAAGCTTCCTTAGACAGTGTCTCATTTCTTTTGTTTATGCATTAAAATGTTGTCTACACTGATGGATGTAAATAAATAATGATAATGGTTATGCTCAAACAACTAATACAGCTTTTAGAGGATGCAACTATTATGTTCTAATTCTGCCTTTGGTCCTGCTTTAAAATTATATGCACATAGCAAAACATTTTGCTTATTATAGTCCCGAAATAGAATTTTCATAAGTGGGCTGGAAAATCACATTCTTAAGAATCTACTTGCATTTTAGTGCATGAGTCTTGTTGATCACAAAGGTAGCAACCCTGCAGAGATTTACTTAGGGGTACTTTCTGTTGGGCTTAATGGGCCTTACTTCTGTGTTTATATGCAAAGGATTTCACTGGAAACAGCAACAGATCTTCTAATGTTCAGTCAAACCATGGTGTAAATGTTTACATAGATGCTTATATGTTTCTTGGCTGAAGTATTTATTGACTGCCATAATGTAATTCAAACATTTGTTGACAGCAAGTTTATTTGAAAGTGATAGTTTTGCTCAAGGAGAAAAAACGAACTTTGGGATTAAACATAACTTGGAATTTTCACTTATGCAATTTTAGAAACAAACTGACTGAATTTAAAGTCTGTCCTTCAAACTTAATCAGAGTTAAACTTCTAATTATATTGAACACACTGGTATACAGTGTTTTGCAAAAAGAAAACATGGATGGAGGGAATATGCACTAATATTCTGTTGATGGAAAAATGTCAGAAAAGAAAATACTTCTTGAGTCTGTACCTGGAATATACATTCCCAAGGAGAAAGAACATTAAGTACCCTTTCTAGTGCCCTTCCAGAACCTTCACTCTACCCTACAGTAGATGTGATCTATGAAACAGAAAACCTGAAAATGTTACTAATTTCTGTGGGGGGTGCTTGTTTTTGTTATTGCCTTTAAAACCCATTTATTAACACCTGCATCATATGGAAAATTGTTTTTTGCCAGCACAGAGTAAAAGTCTGCAAAGCAGGAGCAAATGTATAAGTTGTTTGTTTCATAAATTTGTATAAATTGCCAGCAGTTCCGGAGTGATAAAACCATGTTATGAGATCTTCATGTCCAAGAGAGTACTGCTGTCTTTTTCTACAACAGCAGTGTATGCCGTGCAATGAGCTCTTCTGTAATTGGTGGGACTTTCAAAAGAAGGTCTTAATGTGACATAGAATGGATGCTGGGGTAGTGTCAGTTTGCTCTTCAAAAGTAAAATAGAAATCCCACTGGGCAGTTTCCCAATTCTCCAAATTAGATTTTTGAGAGTGAAGTTTGGGGCAGTCCTACTCTTTCTACCACAGAATCCATGGGACAGAATCCTAGAATTTTTGCAAGCAAGTTTTTTATTTTGCTATCCAGATTCCTTTAGTAGGCAATTCTGCAATTCTGTTGCATTTTAGCATTACAGATACTTTGAAAGATCATCTAGTAGAAATATTTGCATTTGAGTATGCATCTGTTTAGTGTGCATGCAAGCTGTGCTTTTTCTGGTATTTATCTAACAAAATTGTTGATATTTGAGTGTACCATTTTAGTCTACCCGAGGTTGAAATATGCAAGTTTTCTTTTTTATTGTATCACTTGAAGGTGTGGTCCTTATATCCCTGGCCCTCTGTGCAGATGCAGTCATAGGAAATGTACAGGAAAAAGCTATGAAGTTGCACAACGGCTCAAACTCTGAAATGGTAAGCGCTCCCATTATATAAAGTCATTCAGTTAAGTAGGTGCGATGGGGGCAGAAGGAGGTCTATTCTGTATCTGCTTCTTTGAAAGCCAGGTTATTGTAATGATGTTGTGACAATAATACTGGAAAGTTCTTTTCTAATAGGTAGACGACTTGTTGCTCCACCCTAAGCTAATGGGCAGATACATTTCAAAAATGCACAACTTCAGACCACTTATACAGAAATGTACCAGTGATGGGTTTATCTTTCCAGCCAACCATAAGAGTTGGACAAAAGAGTTCTCCAATCAGATGCAAAACTCTTTTGTCCACCTTGTAACCATGGTGCCCTGAGACTGCTTAAAGAGAAGGCTGCTGCTGTTGAATTGTATTAGAGCTTTTCGCAAGAGCAGTGCTTGTTTTGTTCCGTTCTATCTCAAAATGAGCAGGAATGTGCTGAACATGTGTTTTTAAATGATCTCCCCCCCCCTTTTTATTTTTGTACAGCTTGGGAAAAGAAGATGTTTTTAAACGATAGGTTGTCCTAAGAGTACTGAAGTCAAGTACCTTAAGCACTGACTGTTGAGACTACTATAATATGTTCTCCATGAGGCTGGCTTCAACTCCTGGGTAGAAACTTAAGCTTGTCTGGCATGTTGTGGCCAGGTGGAGGCATTCAAGATGCAACTGCACAGCTAGCTGATAGGAGTCCTGCACTGAGCAGGGGGTTGGTCCCAATGGCCCTTCTTGGCCCTTTCCAACTCTACTGTTCTATGAACAGGCCACTCTGTTTCTGGCAGAACTAAAAGAGTTGATTATTGCCTATGGGCCCCTACAAGAGTCTTTACCTCTGTCAGTAAGGGTGCCTTAGCCAGATAGAAGTAACTGTTTCACAAAAACTCAATACTAATGGATGCCTCTTTCCTTTAGTACTTTTCCAACCATTTCCATATTAGCACTAAATCAGGCATAGGGGAAGCACTTCTCATCGATGCTACTATTACAAGTAAATTGCTTGAGTCTCATGGTCCAGTGTCTATTTTTATGTAATCGCTGCTCTGCAGTTTGACTGAAAATTCAGTCTGAGTACAGCACTTTATTCTCCAATAGTGTATCTGGAGATCCAGAGAAAAATGAGGAACTCTTTATACTGTAGACTCTGAAGTGAAATAATGTAATGTTTGGACAGTTCCTATAACTGTCACATTAAAATGGGAATTGTAGCATTTATCTTGTTTAGAAAATAAAGATGCCTTCTACTGAAGGGATCATTTTCAAATATTAGACATTTGATATCCAAAACTGAAAAGATGTTTGTAGAGAGTAAGATAAATAGCTTCTTGTGCTAATATGACATCATAGAACATAATAAACAAGTTAAGAATGCATAAATCCTGCTGAAATTCAGTGGAAAAATTAATGCAATGTTCCACTGATTTTGATGGGAGAGATTTAAGGATATTCCTGATTCTTCCATTGAAATCAGTGAAACTTAACTATTCTTAACTTTGACTAGATTGCCCATCTTGTGTACAACTCTGTGGAGCAGGGAGATAGCAAGGGTTACAAGTTGGATTGCCTCAACAGCAGATTGTTGTGAGGGTAAACACAGTGAATCCTTGATTTATACTTTCTTTCCCATGCCATTTGTTTGATGAAAATCACAGACAGATGTAAATGGACCACCCCATGGGCAAAAGCCAGATTCTGGATTCAGAGTTTGTTATAATAGTGTGGAAGGAAAGAATTAAATACCCCTAGCACCAATCTCCAGACAAGATTTGCATTTTGGTGCTGCAAGGGGTTAGCATCCATAATGTCCTGTACTTCATAAAGTAACATGTAAGCAAGGCTTTGAATTTAATTACTTTTGCTTTTGCGAATTGATGACAGTGATGCCCGCTACTTGTGCTAAAGCTTAGTTGTGTGAAATGGCAAATGAAGTAACCATGAATTACAAGTTGAAGCAGCCAGTCACTCAGAAACTAATCTCTCACTGAATTGTCTGAATTTGCCTGTGTTTTCTGTGACAAATGTGCCTTTGAAAAATAATGGATCAGCAAAGAGTTGTGTTAACAGAGCCAAAGAGCACACAACTGTGGACTTTTAAAAAATATCACAAATTTAAATAATTTGTTTTTGTAACTATTCCAGGTTTTGTATTCCTATTCAATAGGTTTCCTGTACATTTTATTGGGTCTGACATGCACTAGTGGCTTAACCCCTGCAGTAACATTTTGCTCAAAGGTAAATGCATTTATTTTTTCAATTTTAAAAAGTGCAAATGTTTCATTTATATGCCATTATATGACTTGTTTGCCTAATCTACATTAATAGCTTTCACATTCATAAGTGTTCCCTGAATATGTTACTTATTTAAAATAAGAAAAGTAAATTATGTGATTCCTTAATTAAATCTTCAATTCTGTACTGTCCCGGCAGAAAGCCCCAATGAGGTCCATGGGATTTACTTTTGGTAGCCATGTACAGGATTGCTGTGCAACTGTTCAGCCTGGAAACTTTTATGTACCCAAGCTCATCAGGAATTACTTTTTATTTTTCTTTAAAAGTCAAGGAATGATTTTTATAATTTCATTATTACTTCTTCTGTTATTCAGTCAAAATTAAATAAAATCTTTGAATGCTTTAAGCATTTTCATTTTGGTTCAGCAGTTGATTAAAGACATTTATTTCATTTTGCAATACCTCAGGGTTTGTTTAGCATTTTCCTAATACTTCTGTTGTTGTTGTTGTTGTTGTTCCTGCAGCATCCAGTTCAAACATACGGCTATGCATTCTTGTTTTCCTTGACGGGCTATTTTGGAATCTCTTTTGTCCTGGCTTTGATTAAAATCTTCGGGGCTCTTTTAGCTGTAACAGGTATAATACAATTCATATTTCAATAAAAGGATAGAATAAAATCCCATTTTGAGGTGAAGCTTGCAAATTATCTTTCCTCTAATTCCTTTTGCTCTGTGAATGTTTTTTCTAGATTCATGTGGTGACTGCTAGTTTAGAAGCATATGGATTGGATGTTTGATCAAGCGCTACATAGGCTTTTGTACAAATTTAGATTATCGTTGGAGTGGTGAATGCCACCTTCCATATATTTTTAATTTGCGCACCAAAAATATAATTTATAGAGTGTTGATTTAGATAAAAATTAATTTTCATTCTTCAACAGGGTTACAATTATATATGATCAAGAAACCTTGTATAAATATGGTGTTATAAATATACAAAACAAATGTGTTCTTAGAATCAATGTGGTGAAATAGTTCAGAAACAAAATCAGATGCAGTCATTAACTTAGGAAAGAGGGGTGGGTGTTATGGAAAACTGTAGAGGAAGGTGCCTAGGTACATTTATTGAGCTGATTTCATAGACTGTCTTTGTATGTTGAAAATATGCTTTGGTCTGCCCACCCACCATTTTTTCAAGGAAATTGGTTCAAAGTGTCCTTAAGAACCTTCCATGATAGCACACTAGGGATGGAGACATCATTTGATCCACCATTCTGCACATTGCCACTAGTGTTGCATTGATTTGAAGAAGCTCATTCAGCTCTTTACCTCATAACCTAGTGCAAGCATATTCAATATTTTTCCCTGAACTTCTGAGCATCTTAAGGGTCACAGGCAGATTCAGTTATCAAATGTTGCCACATACGATAATGCATACCAAAAGTGTGCACTAGGAAAATGGTCTTCACCCTTGGAAAAGCATGTACAAGCAAGGGTGAAAAGGAAAGACACATGCCTGAACATTTCTGGAGTTATTTCAAATGGCTGTGACATCTGCCCAGCCCAAGCCAATGTAGGGCTTTAAGTGGCCAGCTGCGCAACTGCTCAGTTTGTCTAGCAAAGGATGCCCCATCAGTTGCAGGGGTGCAAGACGCTAGTTGATACCAGAGCAGCTAAAGTAGCAGCATGGACTTAGACTGCCCATTTGCCAGCTAAATTTGCCATTGGGTAAATACAGTTAACCTTCATTGTTTCCAGATCCCTATAGTGGGATGAGCCATTCTCTCCACAATTAAAATCTATGTTCTACTTCTAGCGTTAAACACCTGGGTGACCTTGGACAAATCACTTTGCCTTCCTGTGCCTCCATTTTTCAAATGTGAATAAATTATTTAACACATCCATAAAGAGGTGCTTTGGCTATCCGTTGGGGGGGAGGGAGTTCAGTGTTACTGCTACATATTATTTCATTGCAGCAAATTGTGTCAGAATGAGACAGATATACAGTATGGTGAAAGGCTGATAAGTCCTATAAAAAGGCTTCATAACGACAAAATCTTCTGCTGGAGCGGAAGACTGACAGGCAGCCTGAGCAACATAATTTGCCGACAGTGTTGTGCCTGCAGGGGAATTCCACCCTGCCCAGTCGCTTACCCTATGAAGGTAGCCTTGTTGTGTGAATGCCTAAAGGTGCTGGGTGTGAGGAGGCAGCCAGAGGCTGGAGCTGTAGTGACCAGCCAGCATATTGCAGTATTACTTAAGACAGTCCATTCAGTAGGTCAACAACTTATCTGCCTTTTACCATTCAATTAAATTGCGTATTGCCAGATTATAGGTACTATTGTCAGTTACCAAACGTAATGTAAAAGCATGCAACCTAAAAGTAGCACTTCCTGTACTGCAGACCATCCTCAATGTTTTCTTTTTCTTTTATTTTTAATTCCTTATTATAATAAGTTACAGGACCATAACAAGCATCGAGTCTATATAGAAGCCGTATAAACAAAAATGTATAATTAAAATTAGTCTCCCTCTGATTCAGTCAACTAAAGCAGTCATTAGTTAGTTGATTTGTAAATGCAGAGGTACTCTATTTGTACTGTTAGGCGCAAGGCATGTTTTGCATTGATTCTGGCCTCTTTGGTTTCTTCTCCTCTTCACCTTCTTGGGTACTATGAACATTAAAACCCCATGTAAAAAGCACTACATGTATCATACCATCTGAGGATGCCTGCCTTTAGAGCATCTTACCTGCTCTCAAGCAGATGTTATGTCCTTAGCTTTTTAATTAGCAGTGACTTTTATACTGTCTGCTGCCTGGTGAATGTTAGCCAAACTGTTGCATTACCTTGATGCTTTGAGCATATTCGTATTCAGGCAGAGTTCCATCTGTCACAGTGCTCCAAGTGTAAAATGACATCCTCAGGGTTCCCAATCCAGAAGAGATTACTAATCTAATTGAAAAACAATAGGACAAGCTTGTCCTGACTAACTGAAGCCTTATTCATGTCTGTGAGGCTTTCAAGTACAACTGACATTCTCCATATAGGAACCACAATGTTAGTCTGTTGCAACTACATTCCAGTTGGAATAAGCTATGAAGCTGAAGCACCAACTTCGTGTGTCTCTGCACTTTGCTTTTGGTCTTATGCACTACCAGCTGTATTTTGGGGCTCAAACCTACTCATGTGTGTGTTTTTTTTCCCCTCTAGTCACAACAGGAAGGAAAGCAATGACGATTGTACTTTCCTTTTTGTTTTTTGCAAAACCGTTCACATTCCAGTAAGTATTAATCAGATTTCTACATTTTAGCGATGTTAATATATCCAGTCAACTGTTAATATATACTATTACTCAAATGTTTCACAAAATATATGCCTAGCTAAGAAACTGTCAAACTGTCTGTTTTGTAAGTGTCCCCACCACAATGAGATGTAATATTATGTCAAGAAAAGAAGATCTCTCCAATGGCTGTTCCACATTGACCTTCTGCCTAACCCTTTCTGTGTATGTAGAATCATTAGCAAGGTATCACATGAGTGAATAGCTATTGCTGTACTGGAGCACACAGAACTTGGTTTGGCTAAAATCTAAACCAGGGGTTGGGAATGTATGGATTTCCAGGTGCTGATGGACTGCAATTCCCATCGAGCCTAGCCAACATAACTAATGGTAATTGGTGATGGATGATGAGAGTTGCAGTCCAATCCCATATGGAGGGCCACACATACCCCTTCCCTGTACTAAACAAACCAAAGAGAGTGATCATGGTGCTGTATTTCCCCTGCCTTGAGTACTGGGGAGATTTGAATAATTGCCCTCACCAGCATGGTTTGCCATGACATGTGAACCGGGCAAGCCACCCAGTATCCATCAGCTGACATAACTGTCCACCTCTCCTGGTTGGCATGGCCTGGCAAGCCACAAAGATGTTCAAACTGGCCTTAGATTGTGAAATATAGCTTGCTGTTCTTGAATGAAATTCTGGAGAAGACAATCTCTAAATCTTTATAATCTTTGAAAAGAAGGACTGCAGCTTCAGATTATTTCTAGCAGCAAATCCCGGTCAGAACATGCCACAGCTTCAGATGGGGAAAAAGAGACAAAGAGGATTGAACTAAGGAAGATTTTGATAAATTAATGTATATTCTGTGCAGTCTTGAATATCCCGATGTGTGTGCTATGAACAAACTGCTAATTTTCTACCTCCTAATCAATCTGTATAGGGAGAAGATCATTTTGCCCCACCGTTGCCTTATGTTGGATTGGTGGGTGGCATTGGAGAGCCACCTTGTGTCTGACTACAGGAGCTAGTTTTGTGGTTTGACCACTTTCCTTTGACCCAGGCAGACATACAACAGCCAGACTATTCTGAGGTCAAACAGTGCTTATTCACACACACACACTCACTCTTAAAGAAAACTTCAATAGGCCTAAAGAGTGATGTGTGCTTCCTATCTTTATTTAGGCACACTTAGCTCTCTGAAATTTTGGAAACACTGGGATTTCTATGGCAAACTTAGTGTCAGATGATACAAAACCATCTTCTTATACCAAAGTAAGAGTAATTATAAACACTTAGCAAAATTTTTTTTAAAAATCCACCATTTTCCCCTTCAGTTTCAGTTCTTGTTCAGCCTTCTGCAATCCCTAGTATGAAGTACATGCACCCATGAGGTTCCTAATGCACTTTTTCCTCTCCTTCCTCTTTAGGTATGTGTGGTCAGGCTTATTAGTTGTCCTTGGTATATTTCTCAATGTTTACAGCAAGAATATGGATAAAATCAAGCTGCCTTCACTACGCAGTCTTTGGCATAAATCTGTTGAAGACAGAAAGACAAGGACGTTGTCCCAAACTGTGTAGATGATGGAGGTGCCATGCACTGTGCTGGACTGGTCATTTCTGTTACTTTGTCCCAATAGTCTCAGCTGATTAATTTTCCAAAGGGAATGATAACTAAAACCAAAGGAGTCAGAGGCATTTTGTCTACTTGTGGATGGCTGGTGTCAATATTTTTTTGGACCACACGGACCTCATCATGGGAGGGGGCTATAGCCTGGATAATGCCATTTGGCAGTGGGCTTTGAAGGATAGCAGTTCTTGGAAGAGGTATTGGAATTTTCACTCTGAATTGAGCTTTAGGGATGGGACGTGTGTAATTTAATTTGGGCATTTTAATTGTATCGAAGATGCTGCTGTTGCTGCTACTGCTGGGCCAGTGGGTCTTTTATTGTTGGGATCAGTTTATTTAAATGTAATGTTGTCTTAATAGCAATTAATCAGAACCTGATTAACAAAGGAGAAGAGAGTTTAAGCCCACAAGCTTCAGATCATTATGCCATAATAAAAAAAGTGTCTCCATTTTTTAAAAAGACTTTGATTCATGTTATTTTTACATTGGAAGCTTTCCTTCTGGAAAAAAAATAATCTTAAAGGTGACAGCTCTGAGAAGAGTTGAAAGGAGCCAGTTATCTATCTGTACATTTGCTCTTTCATAATTTATTGATTCTTAAAGATTCATTTTATTAGTGTCCAGAAGGTCGTAATGGGTCAGGCAACTCATCACCAAACAGTTTCTTGCTACCTCTCCATGTTATAATGAAATGAGAGGAAGCTGGGACGGCAACAACAAAATGAAGAATTTGGGTTGTTCACTGTTTAGTATTAATTGGAAATAGATTTAGAATTGGCTGATCCAGCAGAAACTTCTGTACTGTGCACTTTAAAAAAAACCCACCAATTCTGTGCCACAAAAAAGCTGAATTTTACAATCAGAATAAATTATGCACGTGTATGTGTATTTGCTTGTTTTACATATTTGATTCTGCTTCTGCAAATCACGGAGAACTACAGACCATGCCCCTTACAACTTCTTTCTGACTTCTCTCTTTCTGAGACCCTCACACGCTCCCAGGCATTACTTGGACCTTTGAAGCCTGACTTGGTAGCCATATGGACTTAGTATATCCTTTAAAAGATATTGGAAAGTCTCAGGATATTGAATCACCTAACACCAGTTCTTGCTCATGCACATTATAGGATACAAACTACCCCAACAATTGTTCATATTATCATGACATGTCACAAATAGTTCTTCGTCGTGACCTCTGTGCATCACACATATGGGTGCTGCACCTGCGCAGTGCCTGTGGCCGGAAAGATTCAAAGCTTAATGGTTTTGGCAGGAACTCCACATTCCTCCCCCCCACACGGTATAAAAGGGCAGAGTGCTCGCCATTTCCTCAGTCCTCTTGCGACTGCCATTCGCTGTGCCTCAAGCCTTTCGTCTCTCAGTTTGTACACATTTATCCAGTTGCTATTATCTCTCTTAGACATTATGATTTTAACTTTTTCCCTCCGTTAGAAGTTTTCTTCTCAATTTCCCCCTTTTCCCTGTTTGAAAAAAACAAAAAGTATTGTTCCTCTTTTCACTTCACTTTGCTATCTTCTCTTTCTTCCTCAATGGCAGAGTGTGCAGCTTTTCGCAAGTGCTCTCAGTGCGGGTCCAAAATGTCACCTACTGATCCGCACAATCTGTGCCTTCTCTGTCCTGGAGAGGGGCACAGGACTGATAAATGTGGCCACTGTCAGGCCTTTACTAAGCAGGCGAGGAAAAATCGGGAGAATCGCCTACGCAAACTTTGGGATCAAGCCCTTCTTCAATCAGACCAACTGGCAGGCAAATTTGCTCCTCCATCTTCCTCTTCCACCATGCCTCCACCCCGCCCGTTGGCTGATGGTGCCCCTTTGCCAGAGGGTCAATGCTCCTCTGCATCTCCGCATAAGCAAAAGGAGAAGAGGAAGCATAGTGCATCGGACAAGTCCTCAGGCCATAAGAAGCCTAAGAAGGACAAGACGGATAAGTTGGCCTGCAAGCCTAAGAAACCCAACCATTCCAGGCACCGTGACTCGGGTTCGTCTGCCCCATCGATTCTGATGACTGCTTCGGTACCAACACCGACCAGACTGGCCCTCCAGTTGGCCATGCAGTTTGCCTGGGTCTCCAAGATGGGTCACATCTTCCATCCAGTCTTCCCCTGAGCAACGGGACATTCCCTTGCTGCGATCAATCTCTGATGGAGAGATTCGGGACTCTCCTCCAATGGCTCGTTCACCTACTCCCCAACCATCACTCGAGCCTTCCCCGAGGGCTGCTCCTCAGCAGGTGCGATATCAACAGCATGCCTCCGTCCGCCCCTCGGAAGAATGGGTGCAACCGCCCCATAGGCCGTCTCATCACGAGCCATGGGATGATTATCCACCCTATGGTTACTACCCATTGGTGCGTGATCATACCCCCTCTCCAGTACCGAGAGACGCCCCTTCGACTTTGAAGGCAGCTCAGTCCAGGCGTCCCTTCGCCTATTGACTTTTCTTCTAGTCCCCCGCCTAACTACGATTCGGACTTGGAGGACTCCAAAGTGGCATCTACTGCACCAGATGCGGTGATCTCTACACAGGGTCCCAGCTCACCGGAGGAACCCTATGTAACCTTTGGAGAACTGATGGCAAGGCTTATGAGGTCACTTGAGATCGAGGCCCAGCACCGCTTCGATCCCAATACTGACAAGTTCTACAACATTGTCAAGGGCAAACAGTCTGCCGCCATCATTTTGCCGCTGATTACCACTCTTCACCAGGCAATGATGGAACCGTGGAACTACACTAATCAGCCTCAACCCACTTTGTGGTGATACAAGTCCATGAATCGAGTCCGTGAGCAGGATAATCCATTCTTCCTGCGTCACCCGAGACCAAACTCGATCGTTGTTGAGTCTTCTCAAGGACGTGAGTCGAGGGGACATACTACTTCCCACGACAAAGAGGGCCGTAAGATCGGCATGTTGGATTGCTGGATCTATGCCGCTACAGGACTTGGCCTCCGTATTTCTAATTATGAGGCCACGCTGGCTCGATATCAATATTTTCTAATGCAAAAGTTAGAAAATATCACGGCCTCACTTCCAGACCAACAAAAAGATCTGGCTAGAATCTTCATTAAAGAGGCTATGCAGGTGGCAGTCCAGCAGCTTTGCACGGCAAGACACCATGTCGACTCTGACTCTAGAGCTCTTGTCGGTGCTGTAGCCCTCCGTCGCCATGCCTGGCTCCGGAATTGCAACTTCCCAGATGAGACGAAATGCCGGATTGAAGACATGCGCTTCGATGGTTCAGGGCTCTTCAATGCTTGGACGGACCACAAGATGAAGACTATCCATGACTATCCAGCTCGCCAGATGGAAGTCCCTAATCAATCACGCTGTAAGTAGTCTTGGTCTTGTCCCTTCTATAGATACCAGCCCTATTCGCAGTTTGTGGGCCGTCAGCAGTTCCAGCCCCTCCAACAGTATCGGAAGCAACAACAACAACGCTTCCAGCAGAACCGGCATCGCCCCGACTCAAACATCAGTGTTGATGGGATGAGCGAACCTCTCTTCTCCTCAACCCTCCTTCCCCTCTTCCTTTTGGGGATCAGCTGCAAAGTTGACTCCCCATTTGGGAGTCCATCACATCTGATCAGTGGGTTTTATCCATCATACAGCATGGATACAGAATTGAGTTCGATATCGTGCCCCCGCCAGGACCGATCCGATTTACGCCTCTGTCATTGGTTCTCATTGACAAAGTTCAGCAGCTTCTGCGTAAAGGAGCGATTTGACAGCTTGCATGCTCCGAGGGGCTCCACAGCTTCTACTCAAGATATTTCACGGTCCCCAAGCGTGATGGCGGTCTTCGTCCGATACTGGACCTATGTGGCATCAATAGGTTCATCAAAACCAAAAAATTTTGGATGACTACCTCAAAATATCCTTCCGTTCTTTAGGAGAGAGGATTTGTGCGCTTCTCTGGACTTGAAAGATGCCTATTTTCACATTACCGTTCACCCATCCCACAGGAGTCTTCTCTGATTCACTGTCGGTTCTGACCTGTTTGAGTTCAACGTCCTTCCGTTTGGACTGGCTACTGCCCCCCAAGTTTTTACGGAATGTATGGCTCTGGTGTGTGCACATCTTCGGCTCCAAGGCATTCAAGTGTACCCCTGCCTGGGTGACTGGCTGATCATCTCCCCATCTAAGGAAGGCCTTCGGTCATCACTTCAAACTATTTGTACCCTCTTGGACAATTAGGGTCTATGCATTAATCATGAGAAATCGTGCCTTACTCCTTCACAGGTCATCGACTTCATTGGAGCCCGTCTCGATTCCATGCTGATGAGAGCTTTTCTTCCACAAAGTCAACAAGACAATCTGTGTTCATCGATCCGTCGAATCTACATGGACAGAGCTGTTCCAGCACTCTTGGTGCAGAAACTTCTCGGCCACATGGCCTCTACAGTTTCCACAGTTCTCCACTCCAGACTACGGATGAGACCACTCCAGTTGTGGTTCAATGGAATGTTTCAACCCCAACAAGACTCGCCTCACCATCTCCTCCACCTTCCGACCTCCATCCTCTGGTCTCTTTCATGGTGGACTATGTGGCACAATCTGTCAGTAGGCATCCCATTTCATCCGCCTCACCCAACCTTGACTTTGTTTACAGATGTCTCCCTTACCGGGTGGGGAGCCCTCTGTGCCGGTCTCCGAACGCAGGGCATCTGGGACCACCAGGAGACCACCAGACACATCAATTACCTTGAACTCCTGGTGGTCTTCAAAGTCCTTCAATCATTCGAGGACACTCTCCAGCGACACGTACAAATTGCCTCCGACAACACCGTCGCTGTATTCTATATAAACAAACAAGTCTGCCCCCCTGGCCCACCTGGCGATGCAACTGTGGGACTGGTGCATCCCCAGGGAGATCACCCTCCTTGCGGTTCATCTGGCTGGTACCGACAACGAGGAGGCCGATGCCCTCAGCAGGCAGATGTCGACGACCCACGAATGGGAACTGTATCGTCCGACCTGCCATCGCCTCTTCCTGACTTGGGCTTCTCCAGACATAGACCTGTTCGCCACTCACACGAACAAGGTGTGCGAGAGGTTCTGCTCTCGTGCTGGCATCGGCCCGGGATCGACAGGGGACGCGCTAATGATCCTTTGGTCCAACATGTTCTTTTATGCATTTCCCCCGATCCCACTCATAATGAGGGTCCTAGCCAAGATCATCTACGACGGTGCCTCGGGGATCCTGATCACCCCCTGGTGGGCCCGTCAACCATGGTTCCCTACTCTTCTTTCTCTGCCTGCCTCTCATACCTCATATAATAACTCAGCAGTATGGAGCAGTTCGTCACCCGGATCTTCCTTCACTCAACCTGACAACCTGGCTCATTCGATGAACCACGGGGTCCCTTTGGGACCGGCGGATTCGGGACTCCTACACTTGTTCAACACCGTCCCAATACAGCCTCTTCTTCCCTGCTACC